TCTGTGCCCCGAAGCGGGAGGACAACGTTCAGCTCCTCGTGTAAATCCTGCTTTCTTGGCGGTGGTGTGATCTAACCGAGCTATTTTCTCCTTGTTGGGAGGAAGAAGATGCTCACACGCGTGTTCTTTGCACACCAGGGATGAGGCCAGATGGTTCAACTGTCCCCTCCCTGTGGCGATTCTCTCAAAGACCGTTCTGCTTTGGGGAGAAAGGTGGACTTTGGAAAAAAAAATTCCCCTTAGTTGGGAAAAATGTGTGAAAATGAGCATGGCCTTTTCAAATTAAAGCCAACCCTTTGAGCAAGGCTCACACAACTTTCCAACTGTCCCCAGGGCATACTGAGAAATATGAAGGTTTCCTTTTGCCTTCTTTCCTTTCCTACAAGAACATGCTTTTACATGGGTGTGTGAGCCAATGCCACACTTTTGCTCTGCATAATCCTATCTGGGTGCCTTTATTGGCTGCAACCAGAGAATGTGGCCAGTGGGCTAGATCTGATAAAAGGGGAATTGGAAGACAAGCAAAGTCTCCAGTTCTTGCACACTGTGACTAACACTGGGGTATGCAAAACGAAGAAGCAAGGCAAAGGGGAAGGGGGCCTGGGGGCAGAAGTCCCAAGCTGGTGTAGGGGCCTTAAAGAAACTGAGAAGAAAAGGTAAATTGGAAGGAGATGGAATTGGAAGTCTGTCCCAGAGTAATAAATGAATCCACAAAGGGTTGGAGACAAGTAAAGAAAGCTGGAAAAAGAGGATGAATACTTAAGTTCTTTTAAAAAAATAAATAAATAGAGACAAGATGCAGATTTTGTAACACAGCTTCAGTTATAAAAATAAAAGTTAATAAGAAAGGAGAACATTCTGGAAGGGAACTAAGGGAAGGTCTGAACGCACCTCCTCCTCTTCCTCTCTTTCACTTCTCTCCCTTATGAAAACCAGCATTTGATACACAGTGCTGTGTGACTTATGTTTGTGTATACGTATGTGTGTATATACATACATACATATTACATACACACACATATACACTATACATATTTATTATAATACAGGACCATACACAAATTTGGATGCTGTGCTTTTCTTTCCCCACTGGCGCTAACCCTCTACACACCCTGGCAACATCTTTT